CCACCCGTAAACCACCATTGCCGATTCCTCCCACGCCCACAAATGGCAGAACCACCATTGCCGATTCCTCCCACGCCCACAAATGGCAGAAGGAGTTTGGATCAGCAGCTACTGCCTCCACACCGAAGGTTTCTCTAAGCTTCTCTATGCCACCATGCAGAGACTTGGAATCCAAGAGCGCCCCGAGTATGAAGGTCAAGAGTATGAAGAACTTGGCACCAAGCGCTGTGAAGTCACCATCTACATCGCCAAGAGTGAAGACTTCCCCGACCTCGCTGACGCCTAGAGTATGACTGCCATCGGATTTTGCTTCACTAACACCTACCAAGCTGTCGCCCGCAAAGCCCTGTGACACCTATGCCAGATCTACGAAGAGCCCATCGCCTGTACACCAATGAGATTCTTCCCACCACTGGAGAAGAACCGCCCAGCCTAGATCGCCCGTATGGAAGCCCTACAAGAGCAAGAAGATAGCCCCACTATGAAGTTCACGACCACCTACCTGCTGGCCCTTCATGAACAACACGACATGCAAGCCTTCGAGTTGAGGAAGTGCATCTACCAAGCCGAAGAAGCCGAGATCTACGCCAGGAAGCTCCACGTGTAGTTCATCGAAGCGCATGCCCAAGCAGCCACCGCAGAAAGCCGCCAGACTGCCATTACCGAAGCCCTGAAGGAAGCCAAAGACCGCCACGCCCAGCAGTTGAAGAACGCCTACCTCATCACCAGACCCAAGCGAAGGATGTTTGCCACACTCAGGCAAGAGCCCATGATTCTTGAAGGAATCCCCGTCTACCCTCTAGAAAGAAGGATGGACCTTGTAGCACCGCCAGCACCACCGCCTACGAAAGTGTCTGAGATCGAGCACCTCATCCCGGTCACCCAACCACTGTCAAGAGAAGAAGAAGACCCACAGCCCCGCTCAGTTGAAGGACGCTAGGAGCACCGGAGTGAAGCCGCTCCGTACGATGAAGTAGATTAGTCGCTCCCAAGGGAGATGTACATGTAGCCTAGCACCTCCCTTCCCTCCATTGTATAATTCTCCCATCATAATAAGAAGCATTATGTTGGCTCGCGATCCCGTTGAATCCACATGCCCTCTCTCTCGCAAAGGCAGATAAACAGGGTGTATAGAACCAAAGCGTCACATACTAAGAAGCTAAGTAAGGGTGAACACCAGATAAAGAATAACCTACACAAAAAGTAATCAGATCTAAGAAATAAGATAATAGAAGATTTAAGGATAAATCTTCTAAGTGGGGTAGATCCGGAACCCCCTATTTAGGAATATAGAAATCAGGGCGAACAACTGAAGATGCAAGTTTTTAATGAAAAATGGAATCCTAAGAACATTGTGATTGTTGCTCAAAAGAAACAAAAACAAGGATATTGGCACCACCAACCCGGAAGAATTAAAGCTCAAGAAGTCAGCAAAAAAGGGGTGAATCATAAGAAGACTAAGATGGATAACTATACAACAAAGGGTGGTACACATATTTGGAAGACACTAGGAGACCAAGACACCTCAAGCGACTCTACGACCAGAAGAACACAAGAAGATGATGTAGAAGATCGAATCTTCTAAGTGGGGTAGCCCTGAAGCAAGAAGAAGAATTGGAATTTCCCAAAGACTAGACAACCAGAAGATGATTCAAGAGAGGGGTACAAAAGGCAAAAACAGATCGAGCAGCTATCATTGGACAAGAGGTATACCTCCTTCCGACAAGATGTGATTCCCGACAGAGTGGTCACAGGGTGGTATTTTCTTGTTCAAATGCGAGTGGTAATCGCCCTAGCAAGGCGATAGGGTCATACTCTTTCCGATAAGGAACTACCTCTTTGGTCAACAAGGTGGTACAACAAGCGGATCAAGGAACTCTCCAGAGGATAGCACAATAAAGCAAAACAAAACCCCTCCCTCTCTAGACCCTTCTCTCTCACTCTCTAGGTTCTCCCTCTCTAAGTTTCTCTCGAGTTTACTTGAATCTCGAGGATGAGATTCTTCTAAGTGGGGTAGATCTGTAACACCTGTGTTTTTGCATCATAATAAAAACCACTAAAATTTTGAACTTTTTAAAACTTTACAACAAATTAAAACCTTGACTATTTATTTTCTGCAAAACCCTTTCTAAATAATTTTTTTCCAAAACCCTTGCATCAAAATTCACCATATGCATCTAGGTTAGAATGTGTGGAGTGAATAAATGATTGTTTGAATGCTTGATTGTTTGATTGCATGATTGTTTGCCCTAGAATTTATTTTGGCACTAAATAATTTCCTTGGCCTTCACCACCCAAATAGATCCTTGACTTCTCCCTTGACTCACCAAACCCTCCCCATCTCAAACCTCCTTCAAATTCAGTTTGAAATCCATTTAAAGGGTGCTTAGTTTATTCCTGGAAATAGAAAAGGGAATTCTAAATGGTAAAAGGATCTTAGGCTCAATCCTCTCTCTTGGCCCGTGACCGCAGCCCACCACCTCCTCCTTCCTTCCCGCTTGGGCTCAGCCCGCAGGCGCGCGTGCCCTGCCTCCTCTCTTGGGTCGGCATGGCCGCTCGGGCCATCTCTGGTGTGAGCCCGCTCCCGTTCCCCTCCCTTCTTTCACCGACAAGCGGGACCCGCGTGTTAGCTTCATCTCCTACTTGGAGACAGCGACGCAAATACCGCGACACCCTGCGTCGTCTACCTCCGTCGCCTCGAACTAGCTGCCACCACCTTACTTCGACAAAGTGGATAGGATCAAGGGCATCACCGCGAACCCCACCAAAGTCTCCAGACCCCACGCGCTCCCTCTAGCCACGCGGCCGCTCCCGAACAGCTTGACTGTTGCCATCGCCATGGACATGCTTCGGTCCAGCTCTTTATGAATTAATGGAATTATAATGGGTCATGAGCTCGGTTATGATAATGTGGACATTGATGATAATTATCTAGATATGATATAAGTTGGCTATGATATTGTGATAAGGTAATGGTTGCCTTGAAATGAGATGAGCTCTATGAACCTGAGGTTAATAACTATGGAACTTAAAACTGGTCAAACTGGACTAAACCCCGATAGGGGGCGAGTGGGGGTAATTTATGGAGGTAAATACCTTGGTAGGAGCACCTGGAGAGGGTTCCTGTGGGAGATACTCGCCTCGGTCATATAAGGACCGGTTCGTAGTCCCCCTCGCCTAGTGAGATATTACATACAACCACATGTCTGATATGGGCAGACTTGATCTCACACCCCGTTAGATAGAAGTATAATATCTACTAGGAGGCCGGTGTTGGCAGCGGAATATCAAGAGTAGGCACGGATGCTATGTGATCTTCCGTGGCCCGGTTGACGTGGATGTTGTGTGATCTTCCACGTTAAGCTTTAGGGTTTTTGGCCATGTTCGAGCCCATGATTATTGTTTTGGCCGTGTTCGAGCCCATATTATGGTTTGTTTATACGGATGCTATGTGATCTTCCGTGATTTGATTGGTGTAAATGCTATGTGATCTTCCACATTGTTTTTCAACACCTGAAAAGCCGTGGTAGAATTATATGGACATCTAAGGTCGCGTACTTTAGGGTACGGGGCCTCGTTAGGCCTGTTCCTACCACCGCGCATGGTTAGGAACTGTGTCTATTATGTGGGGAAATTTGTACACCTCTGCAGAGCTTTATTAAATCTATTCATTAATAGTCATGTCCTTGGAATGGACAAATGTTAGGAAGGGATACTATGATTAGACTTCTACAATTGTGATAATCTGGTAAGATGTATTTTACTAATTTGGTAAACTATAAGTAACTGGGAAACTAGTGAGAATGGTAATACTCTGCCAGGATCCAACCTATAATTATAACTACTTCACCCTACCACTTTTACCTAAACCACCATAACCCCTTCCACATATAGCCTTCCCCTTCCACCTCTCCACCACCCAAAGTTTAGGGCTTACTCAGTACTTTATATACTCAACCCCCCTCCATTCTATGTTCTTAGGAATAAAGCTACAGGAGCACCTACCCGGATGGAACTACTGGAGCTACGCGAGGATAGGATAATAGGAGAACGTACAAGTATGGAGCTATCGAGGACTACACGAGGATAGGACACCCGGAGTATACCGAAGATGGAGCCATATGACTACACGAAGGAGCTACGCTAGGACTATGACGATTGGGATATAGGAATACTCTTAAAGAATAAGTCTAGGGTTACGTCCACACTCTAAATTGCTTGTAGAAATAGAGCCACGTTATCATAGGACCGTTGTCTTAGAACTCTGATATGCGATATAAGGCCAATGGCCTAAGTTATGTAAGCCGAACCTTGTAATGTGTTTTTCCCGTTAGTAATAAAAGTATGGTTTTTTATATCAATCTTGTTTGAATTGTGCGTATAAGCTACTGATCTAGGGACTGATACATGATGCACAGAGGACCCTAAATTAGGGGCTCGACAGCTGACATGTTGTTAAACTGAGCAAGTTAAATATATTTACGTTGCTATTAATCAAATTAACGGTGGCACATAAAAGGACAAATGCTAATCTCTATGTTGTTTTTAATTTGGAAAGCAGTGTGAACACTGATTAGTCAAAATTAATAATTAAATTAAAAATTTAGAAAACATGAAGCATGTTAAACGTCGTTGCCATACAGTAGACTGCATCGATCAGATGCAACGCAGAAAGAATAGATTAAAGCGGGGCTAAAGCGATTAAGATATGATGGAAATAAGATAAGACAATGTGGAGCATATATAACTACAGATACTCAATGGCAGCCTGAGCAGGTCCACGACATATATGAAAGATGCAATTTCTTGACTGAGGAATAAAATAGAGAATGATGATTTACTATGCATGAATGACATACACATGACATCAGCATAAGGTTTAATCAATAGAATAATGTGACAAGGGACTAATCTGGCCGCTGACCTTCAGTTGCAGCAGCTGAGATACTTCGTGCTAGCAAACACGAAAGCAGTGAGAAACAGCATCATTGTCCGGCTTCATGGTTGAACGTGTAGTAGCTGCAGATGAACACAAGACAGCCTGCTTGTTTCTTCGTGACTGGCAACTACTTGCTTTGCGGAGCTTCATGGCTGGAAGCAGATTGATGATAAACCGGTACATGGCCGAAGAAGATCAGAAACGGCCGGACATCTGTATAAGAGATGGTAGGGCACAAAACAGGACGGGCGGTGGCTGGACTTGCATGCAGAAAAGGAAGGTGACCGGTGGTGCTCCATATGGTCGTGCTCCTCTGGCCGGAATCAAAGCAAGGGGTTCCATGAAAGCCTACACGTCTTCACAGGAAAACTCCAGGTGGTGGCAAACTGCGCCTGTGACATCGGGCTTGACGACTTCGGCGGATCTGCATCACGGGGGCAATGGCAGTCATGAGGATAGAGATCAGCAGATTGGCGTTGATATATTCAGCATGCAAATCACGTACAGGGGAGAGGAAGGAGCATGTACGCTGGATTGCTTGCCGACGGAAGCGAGACGTCCACGGACAGCTTGGCCGTGTCCGCCTTGGAGATTGATGATGGTTCTGGATGAAACACGGACGGCGGCAGGAGAGGTAGCTGCAGCAGATGAAACTATGGTGACCGACCACAGCTTTGACGGACGGCCGGACTCCACGCGCCCGTCGGCGACAACGAGGTCCACGGATAAGAAGGCGGCAACAACGTGCAGCCGTACAGGAACGGCTTCATGGCAGCTCGGAGAAGTCCTCTCGGAGATGGCTTTTCCTCTAACTTCGATGATTTCGGCAAGATCATGTGGAGGCCGGTGACGAGGAATAGAGCGGCGGCGTGTGTCATGATAGATTGGTTTGGTTTTAGAGTTTAGAAAAGAAACGATGGCCCAGGCTTGCTATGTATATATAGACAACAGAGGGTCATATAGCAAACGTCGTGATGGAGATTGACATGGAGTCCTTGACGTGCACGACTAGAAATTAGACAGAGAGGGAGATCGATGATCGGAGCAAAGGAAACTACTCGGCTAGAAGAAAAACCAACGTCCAGTTAAGGAAGAAAATAAAGGAACAGTTGGTTTCTTCCTTCAAAAGATCATTATTTTATATTATATCATTACGTGTTAAGCAAACAAATGCATGGAGCAAATAAACAGAATTGATAGGAGATGGATTAGCGAGCTGAGATGATTTAGATGATTCCTAAATATTTTTTTGAAAACTTTGCACCCTCAAACACAAAATCAAGCAACAAGCAAACATCACATCCATCAAAAGCTAGTCAAATTAATTCAGAAAATTTTGTAAATTTTGTAAATTTGTGCTAGATCAAACTACACTTAGTAAATTTTATCCAAATATTAAAATTATTTGGTTTATTTAGTGTTTTCTATTGTTACAACAACAACAACATAGTCTTTCAGTCCCAAGCAAGTTGGGGGTAGGCTAGAGTTGAAACCCACCAAGAGTCCCAAGTCACGGTTCATTTTTTGGGTTTCATCTCCATTAAAGTGGCTAAGTGTTTACATTGGCTCGTCGCGCCTAACACAACCCTCCTCCTTTATCAAGGCTTGGGACCTGCTATGCTGGGACACCAAAGACGTCCCACCATAGGCGGAGTTATTTAGTGTTTTCTATTCACAACCCAAAATCAGAAATTTTGGGGTGTGACACCTTTCTATTGCTTTCCCAAAAGTTATTGCTCAGGAAGATATTTCTAGAGTCAACTGGGCCAAATAGCTCTTTGTAAAATTGAACCACATGCTTCATAATAGCATCTTGCTCTGTGATCATGCCCTGATCAGTCTCCATCTAAATGATAGTCCCTTCTCTTCCTCTACCATTAGAAACTGATGAAAAAACCTAGTATTTGAGTCCCCAGCAATCAGCCAATGCTTGCCCATTCTCTGTCTCCAATATACCTCTTCTTGTAAATACAGACTCTCTAGCTGTCTTTCCACATCATATCTGTGAGTCCATTCTTCTGAAGAAAGCTCCCTACTTTTAGACTGTTCAACAATCAGAGCCAACTCACCCACGAGTTCTTTCCTTTCTCTCTTTTGATCCCCCAATCTTCTTATGTTCCACCCCTTCAATTGAGTTCTCATCCAGACAAGGCACCCATGCCAACAGTCCAGAGAGTAACATCTCTTAGGGCATCTGTCTTCAGCCTCCTTCCAATTTTTAGTAACCAGGTTAATGAACTCTTCATTCAGAAGCCATTGTTGATCAAAGAAAAAATACTTAGGTCTAACTGGAAGGCTCTCACCGTTATCCACAATGATTGGAGAGTGATCTGACCCCACCCTAGTCAGACACCAAGAAATAGATAAGGGGAACCTCTCCTCCCAACCCATAGAGAAGAACACTCTATCTAAATTCACCCTAATGGGATTGTCCTGTTTATTTGTCCAAGTAAATTTCTGACCAGATCTCTTTAACTCTCTCAACTGATAGTCTCCAATAAAGCCATTGAACTTGTTAGATGTATAGGAGGTGTATGTGTTTTCCCTCTACTTGGAGGGCTTCCTTGCATATGTGCATTGTGTATACTTGCCCTCTTGGGCCTTGCAATAGAGACGGTTGGTCATTCTCTAACATGGTATCAAAGAGCTAGGGTTTCCTTACCTCAGACCAATCCCACCGATCCGTGCACCGCATCAGCATAACCGTCATCATGAACACAGCGCGCCTGCACACAGCGGCCCGCCGACCACTCATGCCCGACCACCTCCGCCCAGCTTCATGGCTGGCCATGCCCCTTCCCTTGGGCCTCATGAGCCAACTGCGCTGCCCTCCCACGCCATCAAGGCCGCCTCTGCGCCCCATCCCTTTCCGAGCGGCCTCAAGCGTCGGACGCCTCCCTCCAGCTTTTGCGGCCTCATGGCTCCTTCGCCCACACACAGATAGCGAAGCCGCTCACTCATGCGCCGTGTGTCGGTCTCGTGCTAGTGAGCCGGCCGGTCCTACTCTCCTCTCTGCTTAAGAGAGAGAGAGAGAGAGAGAGAGAGAGAGAGAGAGAGAGAGAGAGAGAGAGAGGCTCGTTCTCTCCTCCATGGCGTCCCCCGGACGCCCTGGCGCTGTTCTGGTCCCTCGGTGCCCCATCATTTTCAATGGCACCAATTGGGGCGATTTTGTTTTCCATGTGGAGGTCCACATGGATGGGCAACTGTTGTGGCGCTACCTCACGGGTGAGCGGATCTGTCCTCCTCGTCCTCTTCTTCCCACGCCACCCACATACCCGCCAGATGCTGATGATGATGCCAAGAGTGCTTTACTTGAGGCATTTGAGGCTAAGATGGAGAGCTACCAGTCTGATCTCGATGTCTATGAGACTTGGCTGCGCGAGGAGAAATCTGCTAAGGCTATCTTACTTGCGAGCATGGAGGTCGATCTCTCGTTATCCCTTAGAGGTCTTGCCACTTCACACCTTATGTGGGATCACTTCCGTCGTAGTTACGAGATTCGTAACAAAGCGATGTACCTTGCTGTTGTTGAGGAGGCTCAGTCGCTTCGTCAGCTTGACTCCACAATTGAGGACTTCCACCGTCAGATGATAAATTATGCAGCATCGCTGGACGGTTGGGCGAAGTTTACTGGGCGGTGGTACTTGCTGGCGTCTTGTGACCGTCCATTGGACCAGAGACACTCTTCGCCTTCACGGGTTTCTCTCTCTCGGCTTCGTCCCGAGTTCGAGCCTGTTCGGGCACACGATTCTTGACTTCGTCGTCCACGCCCATCGCTCTCGGGCGATGCACGAAAGTTCTGGTGAGGAGACACGTCTTGGTGCCGGGGTGTGACTCGTGTTCTGCCGCAGCCCTCCGTCCTAGCAGCCACACCTCCCCAGGTCTCCCCGCCTCCGTCTCATCCCTCTCCTGTGGTGGCGGGGGCACCTTCTGGTGTTCAGTGTGGCTACTACAAGCTCTATGGCCATGAGGAGAAGGATTGTCGCAAGAAGCAGCGTGACCGGTCAGGGCGTCGTGGTAGACGCTCCTTTCAGGGCTCTGGTGGTTCCTCTACTTCATAGAGCACTCGTTCCATGTCTGCAGCGGAGCAGGAGGTTCTTGCCTTGTTTCGTCGCCTCACTACTGCAGCTCAGGCCTCCGGTCATGGGACTACAGCTCAGGCTTCTAGTTCCGCTCCTCCTCCGTCAGGTATATCATCCCCATGGTTCCTCGACTCTGGTGCCTCTTTTCATATGACACCTCATGCAACACACTTGTCCTCTCTATCTTCCCCCTATCCACCTATTTCTGTTCGCACCGCAAATGGCACTTCTCTTCTTGTTGCTGGGAGAGGTGTTCTTTCGACCTCTTCATTTAATGTTCCTACTATTTCGCATGTTCCCAAACTCACTATGCAAATGTTGTCTGCGGGTCAAATCACTGATCATGGATGTCGCATAATCCTTGAGTCTGATTCTTGTTGTGTTCAGGATCTCCGTACGGGCCTTTTGGTGGGAACTGGGCCTAGGCATCGGGACTCCCAACGCCTCTAGGAGCTTGATTGGTTGCATCTTCCTTCACCTGTTTTGGCTCCCACATCACCCAGTTCTCCAGCATCCATGTCAGCTGCTTCGTCTACCACTTCTTTTGCGTAGTGGCATTGTCGTCTTGGCCACATCTCTGGTTCTAGATTGTCCACTCTTGTTGGTAGTGGTGTGTTAGGTCCAGTTTTTGGTGACACTACTCTTCATTGTATGGGTTGTAAACTTGGCAAACAATTGCAACTCCCCTACCCTTCTAGTGAGTCTAAGTCCCTGAAACCTTTTGATCTTGTTCACTCTGATGTATGGGGTCCTGCACCTTTTGTTTCAAAGGGGGGTCAATCATATTATGTTATTTTCATTGATGACTATTTGAGATTTACCTGAATTTATTTAATGTCTTCTCGTGGTCAATTTCTTTCTATTTACCATCAATTTGCCACCATGATCCGTACCCAGTTCAACTCTCTCATTCGAGTTTTTCGTGCGGATTCTGCTGGAGAGTACATCTCAACTGCTCATCGTTCCTACCTTGCTGAGCAGGGTACTCTTGCCCAATTTTCATGTCCTGGTGCTCATGCTCAAAATGGTGTTGCTGAGCGCAAGCATCGCCACACTCTTGAGACTGCTTGTGCTCTCTTGATCTCTTCTATGCTTGCTCCTCGTTTTTGGGCTAAGGCGGTTTCTACAGCTGTTTTTCTCATAAATCGCCAACCCTCTACTTGTCTTCGGGGTTGCACTCCCTATGAGAGTCTTTTTTCGCACCCTCCTTCCTATAGCCATCTTCGTTGTTTTTTGGTGTGTGCATTACGTCCTACTTCCACCTCGTGGCGCACCAAAACTCACCGCTTAGTCTGTTGAGTGTGTTTTCCTTGGGTGCAAGATCGGAACATAAGGGTTATCGCTGCTATGACCCTGTTGCTCGTCGGATGAGGATTTCTCAGGATGTCACCTTCGATGAGTCCCGGCCTTACTATCCTCGTTCCCCTTCCGGTTCTCCTGGTACCGCTGAGTCCCACTCCTTCCTCACTTTACCTGAGTGGTATCTTCCGCTGTCGTCTCCATCCCCTCCACCACCTCAGGTATCTTTTACTCCACCTCCACCACCACCACCTACTTCTCCACCTTCACCACCTCCTCCTACCTCTCCACCACCAGTCTCTTCTCCACCATCATCGTTGCGTCCTTCCCGTGAGATCACTCACTACTACACTCGTCGTCCACGCCCTGCGCCGCCACTTGACTCTTCTCTGTCTGTCCTTGGACCTCATCCTGAGTTTCCTCGTTATTCTCTTCGTGACCGCAGCACCCTTCGTCCTCCCGATCGCCTTGGCTTCACTGCTGCCGTCTTGGCTGAGCCCACGACCTATCGGGAAGCTGCCGTTCACCAAGAGTGGCAACATGCTATGGATGAGGAGATTGCTGCCCTAGAGCGTACTAGCACCTGGGATCTTGTTCCTTTGCCACCTCACGTCACTCCTATCACTTGCAAGTGGGTGTACAAGGTAAAGACCCGCTCGGATGGCTCTCTTGAGCGCTACAAGGCTCGTCTTGTGGCGCGTGGCTTCCAACAGGAGCAAGGTCGTAACTATGAGGAGACCTTCGCTCCTATCGCGCACATGACTACTGTTCGCACTCTTCTTGTAGTTGCTTCTGTTCATTAGTGGTCGATATCCTAGTTGGATGTCAAGAACGCCTTCCTCAATGGTGAGCTGCGAGCGGAAGTCTATATGCAGCCACCTCCAGGATACTCTGTTCCTGATGGCCTGGTTTGTCGGTTGCGCCGTTCTCTCTACGGCCTCAAGCAAGCTCCTCGGGCCTGGTTTGAGCGTTTCTCCTCTGTTGTCATCGATGCTGGTTTTATGCCAAGTGATCACGATCCTACTCTTTTTGTTCACACTTCCCCTCGTGGTCGCACCCTTCTTCTTCTCTATGTCGATGACATGATCATCACGGGCGATGATTCCAATACATTGATTTTGTGAAGCAGTGTCTCAGTGAGACATTCCTTATGTCTGATTTGGGTCCCCTTCGTTACTTCCTTGGTCTTGAGGTCACCTCCACATGTGATGGTATCTTTCTCTCTCAGGAGAAGTACACTCAGGACCTCCTTTCCCGTGTTGCTCTCACTGATCACCGCACTATTGATACTCCTATGGAGCTTGGTGTTCACCTACGACCCACTGATGGTGTACCACTTGCTGATCCTACTCGCTATCGTCAGCTTGTTGGGAGTCTTGTCTACCTTGGGATCACTCATCCTGACATTTCTCACTCTATGCATATCTTGAGTCAGTTTGTCTCGGCTCCTACCCAGCTCCACTATGCTCACCTCCTTCGTGTTCTGCGATACCTTCGTGGAACTATCTCTCGGCGCCTTTTCTTCCCTCGTTCTAGTTCTCTTCAGCTTCAGGCGTATTCTGATGCGACCTGGGCGAGTGATCACTATGATCGCTACTCTGTCTCTGCCTATTGTGTTTTCCTTGGCTCCTCCTTGATTGCCTGGAAAACCAAGAAGCAGACTGCAGTTTCCCGCTCGAGTGCTGAGGCTGAGCCGCGTGCTATGGCGACTGTGACTGCGGAGGTGACATGGCTACGATGGCTTCTTGAGGATTTTGGTGTGCCTGCCACTGCACCCACTCCTCTCTCTCTCTTCTAATAGCACCGGTGCGATCAATATTGCTCGAGACCCAGTCAAGCATGAGCTCACCAAACACATTGGCGTTGATGCTTCCTACATGAGATCGCAGGTGCATGATCTGGTTGTGACGCTCCACCATGTGCCTTCAGAGGTTCAGTTAGCTGATTTCTTCACCAAGGCACAGACCCAGGCTCATCATAGATTCCTACTCTCCAAACTCAGTGTTGTAGATCCACCATGAGTTTGAGGGGGGTGTTAGATGTATAGGAGGTGTATGTGTTTTTCCTTTACTTGGAGGGCTTCCTTGCATATGTACATTGTGTATACTTGCCCTCTTGGGCCTTGCAATAGAGACGGTTGGTCATTCTCTAACAGAACTGATCCATCAACTGGTAATTAAAGTTCTCAGAACTCTTATCAGCTTCTTCTCTAATCATGTTAAAATCTCCTCCAATGATAATAGGTAAGGCAGTTTGGCAAACATTACCCAACTCTGCCCAAAAAAAAGCTCAGAAAGTTGATGGTTGACAGGACCATAGACAGTCACCATGACCCATCTAAAATTGGTCCTTCTATCCCTAAGAGTCATAGCAATACAAAAGTCAAGAACACAACAATCCTCTATTTCCAAGCTGTCTAGGTTAGCCCCCATCAACAAACCACATGATCTACCTTTTGCAGGGGACCAATGCCAAGAAAAAACCTTATTTCCTGCCAGGTCCAAAAGCTCTCTATCAATAAAGGACTCCTTAATGGTCTCCTGTATCCCTACAACCATCAAGTTATGATCCTCAATGAATTCCCTAACCTGTCTCTTTCTGGTCCCTTTACCCAAACCCCTAGCATTCCAGAAAAGAAATCTCATTTGGACTTTTTCCTAGGTCTCCCCCTCCTTTTTGGGGGCTGTTTTCAATTTCAATTGCTTAGGCATTCCCTCAGCATCCCTTGCTGAATTATCAAAAGCCTCCAGATTATACTCCTGAATTTCCTCCTCATCCTGAGGGGTAGTTCTCTTATTAACAGAAGCTAAATACTCCTTGTAATTAGCTTCTACTAAAGCTGCTCTCTCACTCTCTCCTCTGCTTTGAAAACTTCTAATTGAGTGTCAACATTTTCAATATTAAGACCAAGTTTAGAAGCTACATCACAGATATAATCATTTTCAAGGTTATTCAGAATGAGAAATTGGTTAGAAATATGGGTACCTTTAGAAGTATCATTCTTTTGTTGAACATGTTGAGTGGCCTTCTCCAGCACAGTCCTTCCATCCTTGGAATTCTGCTACTGGCTCTTGTAGCCATAGCAATCTTGACACCACCCTTCTTCTTGTCCTTCTTCTTTTTAGTTGAACTAACCTAGGGCTGCTGCAAGATATGTTCTGATAATTCGTCTAAGCTTTGTGCAGACATATCATCCATATTCTCTAATTCCTGTGTGAGCATCTCTTCTGCAACCTATGTAAGACTCTCCTCCTCCATTTCAGAAACATCTTTCATCACTTCTGAGATTAGATTGCCTGCTTCACCACACCCCCCACACACACACACATCCTCGTGGAACAGATTGCTCCCAAGTAGTATCCTGAGAACCTTCCTGCGCATGGCAAACCTAGGACATATTTTCTATCTATGACTCAATCTCTGTTTCATTAGGCAAGGACAAACGTGGCCACTTGTTCTTGTCCATAAGATAGGGACCCATCCTACCGTGGACTATCTTATCCTCAGGTTTGTTTTTAAAAACCTGGTCTCCCTCCTCCTTGCAATTTTCCACATCCTGCACCTCCATAAGCTCCTCACTGTTTGTTGCTTCCTTAAATAATATCATTTGAATTTCTTTGGATTTTTCATTTGACTGTAGCATACAGGCAGTAGGATCCCAAATGAATGAATCACCACCCATGGTGTTCACCTCATTCGGCATTAACTGTAAAACGCCTATGCTAGGATGGTATGCCGCGATGGGCATAGTCTGCTTTCCAAAACCAAATAGATTAATTTTTCGTTTTGTCTGCTCACAGTCAACAGCCATATGTCCCTTGCCTTTGTACTTGTAACATACTGGCTCTATAGTGCAATCTGATTGATGATGACCCAACTCCAGACAACGAAAACAATTGATATCTAGAGGTTTTCCTTCAATTTGTGATAAGTTCTTATCTCTACCAGGCTCCTTAGGTCTCCAATTCCCCTGGGCTCCTTGCCCCCTCGGATATATACCTCCTCTGAAAGATGGAGCTCCCTTGCCCCCTTCCTTCCCAAAGTTGCGTCTCCCAAAATCTAGGTCTTCGGTAACAGGTTGACCTCTACCATAACCTCTACCCCCTTGAAGATTTCCTTCAGATCCTCTGTATCCTCTAGCACCTCTATCATAATCACGATCATTGTAACCCCCTCTAGCAGATCCATGCCCCCCAGTGTTGACGGCTATTACCTTCCCATCAGCACCTCGCTGAAGCTTCTGACGCAGATCCTGCTCGTTGTGAAGCTCTCCGCCCAGCGTGTCGTCTTCATCCATCCACTCATCCGAGCACCGCTTCCACGACCGCTGCTCCTGCTCTCTCCACGCCATCTTGTCGGCCTTGACAACCTCTGCGAAGAATTGCGAGAGCGGCGGTGGAGGACCTATGCGCTTAACTCTTTGAGCCAGATACCCAAATCTCTGCACTTCTGCTTTAGAAGTAGGATAACCTATACCCTATAAAGCACTGGCCTTGGATCCATACCCAACGTGGCCCAATGGGCTTGTAGGAGTGGTTGTACATATTGGCATGAGAAAAGCCCATTGGCCTATCAGATTCAGGACCGTCTTCAATCTGTTTCTCCTGACCAATCTCATCAGCCCTTGCACTACCCCATCGAACTTGGCTAACTCTCCCCATTGCCTCCTCCAATCTCCTACTTGCCTCATCTAACTCATTGAGCTCTTTCTCAGATTGTTGATTTGGAGAGCTAAAAAGGTGTTGTTTGAGTTCAGCACCCAATTTGATCCGTTGTCTTTGCTGATTGGTCACTTCCCAGGATGAAATTGGATAGTTGAGATTCCTACTCTTGTGATTCCCATCCATGGGCATTGAGCGAACTGATTCAGTAGCCTTTTCTAGATTAGCCCATTGTTCTCCAGGAAGCTCAAGCTGTTCACCATGATTTTGCTCACCCCTTGTCATGGAACCATTGGGAAGTGGTGTGCAGGGATCGTCCCGAATCGCCAGGGCACCCCATCCTACACCAATGGCCTCCAGAGGCCTCCACCATGAGAGATCGAATCCGAGAGATTCCTGGTCTGAACACTCCATGTGTTCATCCTAGAATATAACATAGATGTTTGAATCCTTGTGCGTTTATGTCGTTGAGCCACAGCGTTCGCCCCATGAACAACTATGTCACAATCCGCACAGAGGAAAGCATTATCGACCTCACAAAACAACAGTGCAGTCACCCCGCATAGCAAACATCTGTGAAATCCCTTCTCCACCATCATCTCACCCTCTCTAGGATCAGGCATGGCAGAGGGAGCGAACCACAAAACAGAGGAAACAATAGAAGGTGACGCGGAGCTAGGAAGAATAGATTGGAGAAAAACTCACCCGTCAATCGACGCACCACGCACTCTCAAATCCTCTATCCTACTTTTCCCCCCGAGAAATCAGCTTACCTCGCTGGAGATTGGTCGGAGAGGGGTCGGACCCGCCGGTCGCCGCGCCTCCCGCTCTCGGCCCTCGTAACGGTTATTCGTTACATAGGATAAGTTCTATCACTGTATGTTCTCTTAATTATTATGTTTGTTTTATTTTTATATTTTATTTTTCTGTATTTATTTCGTTTTCCTTTTTCTCTTTTCTCTTTATGTTTCTATATTTTTTTTATTTACTATTTTTCTATTTTATCTTACATAATTATTTTTTCATGTTTAATTTTTTTATTTTCTATATTCTATGGGATGCTATGTTTATATAGTATAGATGTGATGTTCTATGATGTATTATTGTTTATGTATTATACATGTGATGTTTTATAATGTATTATGTGATGTTCATGTATTATATATGTGATGTTCTATGATTTTTTTATGTTCACATGTTATATATGTGATGTTCTATGATGTTTTTTATGTTCACGTGGTATATATGTGATGTTCAATGATGTTTTTTGTGATGTTCGTATGGTATACATGTGATGTTATCGTAGTATATAGGTGGTGTTCTATGATGTTTTGATGTTCTCGTAGTATACAGGTCATGTTCTCTGATGTTTTTATGATGTTCACGCAGTATACATGTGATATTCTATGATGTATTTGGTGATATTCATGTAACATATATGTGATGTTCTATAATATTTTTAGTAGTGTTCTATGGTTTATTTAGTGATGTTCACTCAGTATACATATAATGTTCTATAGTGTATTTTAGGATGTCTAGAAAGTATCCATGTGATGTTCTTTTAAAATTTTCTTTATTACGTGTTTTTATTTTTTTCTTACGTTTTACTCTAAATTTATTATTTTTATTTATGTTATGTATTTATTTATTTATTTTTATGTATATTATAATACCAATTTCATGAATCTAAAACTAGAATAATATTCTTCTAAATCGAGAATATTTTCTTACGGAGACGAAATATTGTTCTCTAATCCTAGAACAATGTCTCTGCTCAATACAAAAATATTCTATCTCCATAAAATAAATGTTTGTTATTAAAATTTTATCTAAATATATCCATGTGCGGATCTTGTTTCGAAGGATTTATTGCAAGAAACCGGATGATGTTATCCAAATTTAATTTAGATATTTGGTTTAGCAGTTATGATATTTTTTAGTTCATTGCAAGAAATCAAATCGTGCCGAGCCCACCTGACCCACGCATGGCGTCCCAGTGCACGCTACCTGCCCGGGAAAATTTCGCATGCCCTATGGCCGGCGTGGAGATACGGTCCGATGGGCGGAGTGTAGCACCCCGGAACCGGTGGTTCATTCCAAGCATGGTAACAAACCTTGAGAAATTATATCATACTACCCTTTATTAATTAGAGTAATTGTACACTGATCGATAATTATAGAATTTACTATACCCGGCTAACTACAGAAATTCTAAGCGTGGATTGGTGGAGGGAGAGGGGACTCCGAGGAAAATAAATGGCTCCTTGAACCGTTTAGTCTTCTGGAGGTTAATTTATCTGTAGACAAAATTTTATGCTAGAAATCCATTTATTCAAAGACAGATGAAATATTTTACTATTAATTAGATGTTCCAACGAAGCCTACGCATTAATTCACACGAGATGCGATAAAAAATAAATTTTAGAAATTTTTACTACAATAATTTTATTTTATTACCTTTAATTTGTAACTCTAATCACCATCATGGTAAATAATAGCCATTAAATATATTTTATTTTATAAAAAACTACTTATCATCCCCATCACGAAAAATACATAAAAACAAACTAACCCTAAATTTTTTTTATCTAAATTATTGTGACCAAATGAGGTCATTTTATTTAACGAATATATACGTCTATAAATGTGAAGTGAATTGGATGCTGAACTGCTCAAGGGGATTAAAACACACGTTCAAGGCACAGTTACTGGTCGAGCTGGATGAATGTGTGTCTTATATGTAACAGTGCGAAGTGAGTTTGGATGCTCTCGTGGCTGAGGATCAATCAAAAGGGGTTTAAAATGCGTTCACGGCACAGTTACATCCACAAACGTCCTCTGCAGTATCCATTATCGCGCCTTACCGATCTTAGCTTGGGGCGCTGTTTCGACGAAGACACTGGGTCTGAGAATCTCACCAGTTACTGCAGATTTTCCACACGCGCGTGCCATCGCTGCCTGAGCTTAACGTCGGCATGTCCGGCCTCATATGCGACAGCTCTACGGTTCGTCCAGTTATGTACTTGCATTGCAGCCAGAGTGGGACCCTCGTTGAAGTTTGATCTGTGTCGTTCCACATCAATTCACACGTAGATCGTGCTCCTGGTTTATTGGTTTTTTTTACAGCGTAACGGTCTTCGGTCAAAATAAAATCCGTACATATTTGATTTTTTTAATTACACGAGTACAGATACAGATACTTAATACGTATGTAGACTCACTCCTATGAACACACGTACGCAAGCCCTACCCCTGTGAGCACTTATGTTGACAACTTTCTATACAACCTTTGCAATCAAACTTTTCTATAATAATTTAGTGGTCGTGGTATGCGAATCTGACAGAGCCGTCTCATTTTTTCGATATTTTTTCCTTTCCTTTTTATTTTTATATTAGCCTACCCATTTTTCTTCTATATACAATAATTTTTTAAAAGTTGAAAAGTTTAGCAAGAACAAATTATGTAAAAAACTTTTGCTGGATAGGTTGTGTATCGTTTTTGAAAGACGTTGAACAACAAAAGGTTATGTGTATAAGTTATGTTATCTGTAAAAATTGTCATATAAAAGTATAGCGACAAAATTTATGTTGAAAATTATTATGATAAGTTTGTCTGTTGACCATTATGCACAAAAATTATGTTGCAAAGGTCATATAGAACGGTTGTCACGATAAGTTATCTATAAAATTACCAAAAAAATATATTGAAAAAGTTATGATAAAAATTCTTAGGGATAAGTTTTTTCGTGTAAAATATTATATACAAAAGTTGTGATTATAAATTTATATTTTTTTTAAAAAAAGTAGAAAGTTTACATAAATAAAATAATTAAAAAAGTTATGGAGGTTGTCAGATTGTTTCGCTAGTAAGCAGTCTCACCTTACCGGCACCTTGGGCCACCGTTGTTTCAGCCCATTTTCTTGCAAAACGGGCTAAGTAATTAGCTCAAATGGATGCACGCCGATTCGGCCTCATCATGGCCCATTCAGAAACGAGATAAGAAATTAGCCCATAGGTTGCTAGTAGATCGAGTTTAGATTCGATCATTTCGTTTTTGGTGCGGTCTGACCCGAGCACGGTCTGAAACGAGATAAGAAATTAGCCCATAACCTGCCGACCAGTCGGACCCGAGCACGGTGCCGACCCCCTGCGAGCGCGTACGCACGCGTTAATGGCTGAGCGGCAGAGCGTGGCCCATGCGGAGCACGCGGCGGCCAGAAGCACGCGGTCGAGCGTCGTACCCGATACGCATTACAATTCCTCGTCGCACCTTCCACGTAGGCGAGTTTTTCTTTTTTTTCTTCCTTTTTCTATTTCTTTTTTTCTCTTTCCTTTCTTTGTGAAGTTTTATTTTTATTTTTTGATAATTAATTATTTTCTTTATTTCATTTTTTCTTTCCATGTTTAGTTCTTTTTGTTTTATTTCTTTCCATCTATTTCTTTTTCCTTTATCTTTCCTTTTATGTATTTAGTATATTTTCTTACTTTCATTTTGTTTTTTTTGTTTTTAATTTTATTCTAGTTATTTTTTATTTTTATTTTTTATTTTTTGGTTTTCTATGTATGATGTTCTATATATGATTTTCACGTAGTATAAGTAGGATATGCTATAATTATTTTTGAGTATTCATAAAATACCCATGAGATGTTCTATATAGGTTGCTCATATAGTATCCATATGATATTTAAAAAAAAATTCTGTTATGTGGTTTTTTATTTCTTGTTTTCCATTATGCTTTATTCTATCTTTTTATCACTTTTCATTCATGTTCTTTGTTCATTCATTTATGTATTTAACTTTTTCTGTCCATTTCATATTTTTTTCATTGTTTCCTACCATTCATATGCACCTATAATTTTTTCCTACATCTAAAATATTGCTGTCGTGAACTTAGAACATTTGTGTATGAAGGCAGAACTTTTATGATCTTGTGGTGATATTCACTTAAACGATTTCTTCTATAGCATAATAAGACTATTCTCATACTATTTATTAGGTATATTGTATATTATTGTCATATTATTTTCTATATGATTAGTGATTTTTATTTTTTTCATTACATGTGATGATCAAGTTTATGATGTTCATGTAATATACATGTGATGTTCTATGATGTATTTCTATTATGTTCAGATAGTATACATGTGATGTTCTATGATGTATTTTGTGATATTCTTATTGTTTCTATTTTATTTTTTATTTTATTTTATTTTTACTTTTACTAATCTTTTCTTCTCTTTTTATTTTATTATCCTTTTATATTTAAATTAATTTTTACTTTCACATACCAAAATATTTGGAGAAATAATTTGTGCATTTGTGATGTTCTTTAATTTTTTTTCCTATTATGTGGTTTTTCCCTTATGCTTTGCTCCATCTTTTATTAATTAGTCTATTTATGTCATTTATTTATTTATATTTTATACCTTTTGTTTTTTATTTTTCTATTTCACGGACATTATAATACCTCCTTATGAACCTAGAATGTCTTTTTTTGTCTAAAATATGAAATATTGGTTTTTTTGAATTTAGGACATTTATTTTATGAGTGTGGAGCACCTTATCTTAGACCTAGAACATTTCGTGTACTTTTAAAAAATACTCTATCTTCACGAGATAAATGTTCATTAATAATTTTTCATATAAATATATCTACATGGGGTCTCGATTGATGGATTTATTGTAATAATAAACATAATGATGGGATCAAAATTTAGCTTGGATACTTAGTTTAGCAACTAAATATTTTTAAAACTTGATTGAGACAAATGCTTGGCACACTTTTTGTAGGCATATATGCATGTGGAGAGGTCGTCCTGCTTTTACCGGTCAGTGTACGTACGAACTTTTACTTGCGTACCGACTGGTCATTTTATATGAAAGAGCCGAGAAAAAAGATCTGCACAAACATTATTTCCGTATACTTTACTGCAAAAACAGTCTATACATTCAGTCCGGTCGGCTCCCTTCCTCTAGCGGCTGCAGCAGCAGTATAACATTTGTTTTTTTTATGAGGGGACAGCAGCAGTATAACAGAACACTAACACACAGCAGCACCCGCAGCCTGCAGCCACACGACCAAGAAAAAAAAAAACAGACGATCAGGGCCATTATACACTACAAGAAAACTCAAACAGTCCTTAACGGCCCACGACGTGCAAAATCAAAACGGCCCATGACGCGCTGCGGGAACGCTGCGGCAGAAGACTTAATTATTATGGTCGGCGCACGACTTGCTGCCGACCCGGTCGGCCTATAGGCGCCCCCGTCTGCGCCTAGGCTCGTGGTTCGTTGATACCGAAAGTGAATGACCATTGCATCAAAAAAAAAGTGAATGACCAGGTGTGCAGCCCCTGTGGCTAGAGCGGAAAAAAATTACATGAAAACTATATGCAGCGAGTCTCCGTGAAAACCTCTCTCGGATGGAGGACGCGTGTCGATGAAAAGAAGTCTAGATCGCTGATTAACAGCATGTTCGGGAGGCCGTATCGTATCGTGAATTATTTACTGCTGGCTGGTTTGGTGTAAGAGAAAAACACTGTTCCCGACTGAAATTTACGATCGTTTACGAGCAAGCGAACAGGCTCGCTGGAGATGTAGCGGAGCCGTGCTTACAGCCGAGCCCAGCCTACGACGTCCAGGCGCGGAGCAGAGACACGCATCAAGTAACGACGCATGTATGCACAGCTCCACGCTGCATACGGTTTCCATTTTTTTTTTCTGCTAGAGCTAGATGGATGAGGCCACTGTCACTAGACCCTCTTATCAAGAATCAATACTCGAGAATAGAGACCGCTGTAAGTTGATCCTTTGGCTCTTAGCGAGACGGTTGCAAGTCGATATTCGATGTTTCGGTGCACTGTTTTCTTTCTATTTTTTGAGACAAGGTTCCTGACCCGATCAACATGAACAGAGTCGAGCGTGGTCAATCAAGATACCACTCCGTATCCATCAAAGCGATTTGTGACACTTGACGAAAATGACTAATTGATGCTTAGCCAAACCAATTTTTCAAATGTTCAAAAATCAAATCTTGATATGAACTGGTAGCCTTGGAGTATACACAACTTGTCTGTACAGCAGCACATATAATTTTGTAGCAGGGTAGTTCATCAATTTCAGCACACTACTCATGCCTGATTTGCCATCGTTATGCTAATTACATTCAAAGACAGTCTGATCTAATTACACAAAATCCACAGAAGCAAATGGATTGTCTCATTTAATCGCTGCGACATATGACTTTCTGATTGCATGCAAGTTAATGGCTACCTCTCTCATGCTCATTCTTTCTCTTGGTAGTGGAAGCGTGCAAGCAAGGGCAACTTGCATGAGGGATAGCACACATCGATAGGACTCATTTTCGGTTGCTACTATTGCTTTATTATAGCCCTTGCATTCTTCATGGATATGAGCATCAATGATATGTAACACCTGATCTGGAAAGTTCCTCTCTGCATAGCTAACAATGCTGAATTCATCCCCAAAGATAGAATCAGTTGGCTTTCTGCCTATAATCATCTCTAGAAGTACTATTCCAAAACTATAAACATCCCCACATGTTGATGCATAAACAGTTTGAGCATACTCTACAAAAACATAAGGAAAAAACAATTAAGATTGCTTTATACAAACGTATATATAAGAGGGTATGGCAACATTTCTTATCTGTACCTGGAGCGATATACCCTATAGTTCCTGTCATAGCAAGTGAGCTACTATAACTTGATGATCGTCAAACTGCTATTGACCTAGAACCAACAACAAGACTTGCAATCCCGAATCTCCCAAATGAGCATTCATGTCATCATCAAGAAAGGATATTAGTTGGTTTCAAATCATAGTGGACAATAGGCCTTCCACAATCATGGTGTAAATAAGCCAATGCGTCGGCTATGTCAACGCATATGCTTATTAAGTCCAAAATCTTTAGAGCTATACGACCACGTTTCTGATGCAACCATGTATCCAAATTCCCATTCGGCATGAACTCATAAATTAAGGCTTTGAAATCATTACCGTTATTGTCTATACTTGAACATGCAGTTAGTATAGGAAGAAGGTTTCGATGCCAAATGGTTCTCAAAGCCTCACATTCGGTAACAAAACTTTTGTCTGCAAATCTTGTCCCAAGGTCAAAAACCTCAATAGCAACTTGGATTTTAGCTGGAGTTAACTTCCCTTTGTATACTAAACTATAACTTCCCCTTCCAATAAGGTTGGACTTTGAGAAGTTCCCTGTGGCTTGAGCTAGATCCTTGTAAGCAACTCTATGGAATTTCTTGCCGAAAGAAAGCGGCAATAAGTATGGTCTTCTTGATGTCTTCTTCCCATGAATTATGGTGAAAATCAATATAATAAGTGACATGAAGCCAAATATTGGGATCAATATTTTGACCATATAGTTTATGATTCTTGCTTTTCTTGGATAAACGACATTGCATGAAGGCTCATGAAAATCCATGGCGCCTCCACACAGTCCTGGGTTACCATTGAGTGAAACAATTGTCCCATTATAGAATACACCATTTCTTGGTATTTCTCCTTGGAAATTGTTGAAAGATAAGTCTAGTTCAGTGAGAGACTCTAAATCTTTCAGACAATCTAGGATGGGGCCTGACAAATTGTTATGCGAAAGGTTGAGCATGCTCAAGCTCTTTAGATTGCTGAAGGTAATTGGAATGTTTCCTGTTAGAACATTTCGGTCCAATCGAATGGTATATATCTGTTGAAATTGCCCCATACTTTTAGGAATTTCCCCGTTTAATCTGTTGGATGAAATATCTAGAGTGGTGAGTTGTCCGAAGTTACCAAACTCAACAGGGATGTTCCCTTGGAAATTATTATAGCTTAGGTTCAGCATCAACATTGGTTTAAGGTTTCCCAAGTTAGATGGTACAGAGCCGGAGAAATTGTTTTCGGCTATAGAGAACTATACCAACCGTGTAAGATTACCAATTGATGGTGGAATTTTCCCTATGAAGTTGTTCGATTGTAGTCTTAAAAGTTGTAGATTTGTCATCTTTCTGGCCCATTCCTCAATGGTACCAGTAAGATTGTTGTTTACTAGTGATAGTTTGATTTAAGCAACTAAGTGAAAGGTCCTAATATGGCTAGAGGGGGGGGTGAATAGCCTATTTAAAAACTACAAATCAACTAGAGCAATTTGATTAGTAAGACAAATAGCGAAATGCAAACTTGCTCTAGCTCTACAAGGGTTGCAAGCCACCTATCCAACAATTCTAGTTGCAATGATCTATTGGCACACAATCTACTTGACCACTACTCACTAAGAGCTCTCACAAATGCTACACTAAAGAGCTCCACTAGATATGTTTAAAGCATAAGGCAAGCTCTCAATTCTAATTACACTAAAGAGCTTGCTATATCTAGTTTGCGAAAATGTAAATGAGTAAGTGAGACGATTATACCGCCGGGTCGTGGAGTGAACCAATTATAAGATGAATATATAGCCAATCACCGGGAGAATGCAAATGACAAGAGACAACCGATTTTTCTCCCGAGGTTCACGTGCTTGCCAACACGCTAGTCCCCGTTGTGTCGACCAACACTTGGTGGTTCGGCGGCTAAGAGGTGTTTCACAAACCTCGTCCACACGATAGGACACCGTAAGAACCGACCCACAAGTGAGGTAACTCAATGACACGAGCAATTTACTAGAGTTACCTTTCGGCACTCCGCCGGGGAAGGTACAACTCCCCTCACAATCACCGAAGGCGGCCACGAACAATCACCAACTCGTGCCGATCCTTCACCGCTGCTCCAACCGTCTAGGTGGTGGCAACCACCAAGAGAAAACAAGCGAAATCCGCAGCGCAACACGAATACCAAGTGCCTCTAGATGCAATCACTCAAGCAATGCACTTGGATTCTCTCCCAATCTCACAATGATGATGGATCAATGATGGAGATGAGTGGGAGGGCTTTGGCTAAGCTCACAAGGTTGCTATGTCAATGAAAATGTGCAAGAGTTCGCCTTGAGGCGCCATGGGGCTATAAATAGAGCCCCAATCAAATAGAGCCGTTATACCCCTTCACTGGGCAAAACGTGCTCGACCGGGACGCCTCGGTCATCTTGACCGACGCTGGCCTTGAGCGTCCGGTCGCCTGATGGACGCCACGCAGCGTCACCACTTCAAACGCTGTTCGCCGATTTCAACGGCTCGGTTGACCGGACACTCGAAAACCGACCGGACGTTGAAGCCCCAACGTCCGGTGCGTTCAAAGAAGCTCCCGAGGCGTATTTCTTGATCGGACGCGTCCGTCCACCTTGACCGGACACGAGACCAGCGTCCGGTGCTCAACCTTAGCCATGTGTTGTCGTCGACAAAGACGACCGACGCAGCCTTTCAGGCGTCCGGTCGCTGAGTGACCCAGCGTCCGGTCAGTAGACCGACGCCAGCATCATTTCGACCAACTCCATTTCAACTCTAACTTCTTCACCCTTGCTCAAATGTGCCAACCACCAAGAATTTTCATCCGGCGCAATAGAAAATAGGCATTCCATTTTCCCGAAAGCGCCGAATCGAGAGGGACCCAAACCCATCTCAACACTGCAAACACCGCCTCCTTTGTAAATGTGCCAACACCACCAAGTGTATCACCTTGTGCACAAGTGTTAGCATATTTTCACAAACATTTTTAAAGGTGTTAGCACTCCACTAGATCCTAAATGCATATGCAATGAGTTAGAGTATCTAGTGGCACTTTGATAACCGCACTCCGATATGAGTTTCATCCCTCTTAATAGTACGGCTATCAATCCTAAATGTGATCACACTTTCTAAGTGTCTTGATCACCAAAACAAAATAGCTCCTATGGTTTATACCTTTGCCTTGAGCTTTTTGTTTTTCTCTTTCTTCTTTCCAAGTCCAAGCACTTGATCATCATCATGGTATCATCATCATCATGCTATGATCTTCATTTGCTTCATCACTTGGAGTGTGCTACATCTCATGATCACTTGATAAACTAGGTTAGCACTTAGGGTTTCATCAATTCTCAATAGTTCATTTTGCATCGTTCTCTCACCCACCACACACTTGCACTTCAGCTGCCACTGTCAGAACTTGCCTTTGCTTGACCGCCGCCGTTGCTGCAACGACGTTGAGTCCGTCGAACTTATCAGTTTGCACACGTGCTGGACTGCAGATACAGATACAGGAGTGCAACATCATGATAGGCTGAGTAATCAATTCAATGGTACTTATTGGGCCTTCGGAGGCACTCCTTGGTTTATTGTCCACTTCAGTCACTGCCAAAATCCAGGTCCAGTTCTATAATTTTGTTGTAAGGCCATGTTAAGGCCCATTTTCCGATCTTGCCCATGTGCTAGTCCTATGATCAATGGTCAGTCAGGTTAACAAATATACGAACTTAAAGAGTCTTTACCTCTGTGCTAGCCCTATCAAGGGTCAGGATAAACATACGAAGTTAAAGGGCTCACTGAAACACAGAGAATTTTGTAGAAATTACTAATAAATTCAATGGAGTCCTAAAAAGAGCAGAGCACAAGCTGCCAGGCTTTGTTGATTAGTCCCTCCTTTCCAAAGAAAATCGGTAATGCTGCGGTTCATGCGTCCGATGCCAGCGCAAATCGTCAAACGGCTCTACAGGAGGCCCACGCGTTCTTCTTTCTTCTACTTCACATTCTTAGCCGATCTTGGAGCTCTGCACCACGATGTCCACACCTTCCTCATGCTATCCCTCATCGATTGGCTATGGCTAGTGGAGATCGACAAAATTAGCTCGCAGGAGCTTCAACAACACACACCCTCAGCCTCACCATCACTGGACGCCCCATGAATTCGTGGGAGCCACTATGGCTCAGCAGTCAGCACCAGGTCAGGTCGTTAACCTTATTCTTCTCCCCTGGCGGCCAACAATGCATCTCCTGGAAAGTTGAATGCAAGGGTGACTCATGGAGACTCCCTTGTGCATCGCATCTTCAAGAAGGACATGCTTCTCACGCCCTCTCCACCGGTACATCTACAGATTTTTTTATATGTTGCAGTATGAGATTTTTCAATGTTGATTGGTCATTTGTGATGTTGCGGTTTTGATTTTTTTTTTAGTTTTGTACTATGATGTGTGACATTTGCTATTTCGTGATGTTGTAACTATTTAGATGTTGCATCATTTTTATCCGTGCAACATTTGTTTCATTGTGAGATGTTACAAGAGTTCTTTCTGTTTGTTGCACCAATATTTTTTTATTTGTTTCAGTGGTACGTTGCACATGCTCTTCGTGAAAATTGAACTTAACTTTTGACTTGAAGGTGGCTTGTTGCGGGAGGAGTTTTTCTACTATTGCAGGAGACTAACTAGCATGTGAGTATTGCATCTCAAATGTTGCAAAGTCTTATATTATTGCAGTTGAGGTTCTAATTTGTTGCACAAGAACATAATTCGTGTTGCAGTAAATATTTTATTTTTTCAGTTCTAATCGTCGACTTTATGGTCACAAGCTCGATCTCCGTCCCCCCCCACCCCCACCCCACCTCCGAATTTTTGCTGCTGGGAGACTCATCCTACGCGGCTATGTCGGTGGCCGTGTGTGCCTCTCCACGTCGTGCAGCCAGCCACCGGCCTCCTTGCCGCTTCGCTCTTCCCCCTCGGTCGCGGGAGAAGCTTAGCCGCTCGATTAATTATTAACAGTTCAATTAACGTGGGGTTAGAGCCGGATGGACGGTGGATTTTGTGTCAGATGATAGCCACGTAGCAGCAGGCGGGCAGCATGCGTAGCCGCATTAGGCGGGCTAGGCGCAGCAGGTGGCGCGGGTGCGAGTGTCCGGGCGCTAGCCACGCCAAAAGAAAATACTCGCTCCGTCCCAAAATAAGTGTCATTCTCGCTTCTCGAGGAGTCAGACATTTTTAACTTTGACCAAATATATACAAGCAAATATTAATATTTATTTGTTTTAAAAAAATATTAATATTTATAGTACATAATTTGTATCATTAGGTAGATCATTAAATCTATTTTCATAATAAACTTTGTTGAGATACAAATGTTGTTAATATTTTTTATAAAAGTCAAACTTAATAAAGTTTAACCTTCTCGGCTAGACATCGATCTCGGCCTGACCAAAATCAGCAACTTAGATCTGTTTGTGATTTCTTCTCTAATTGGTTGCCAAGGAGGCTGGGAGTCCCGCAGAGGCTCGTTCTTATTTTCTTTGCAAGTTTTGCTTGGGCAGTTTGGAAAAACAGAAATAAGATGGCAATACAGAGAGCTTTCCCGTCTGATCCTGATGTTGTCATTTACACTTCTACCAATTCGCTGCAGATGTGGGGGGATTTGCTTAAAGATGCAGACAAGATTCAGCTTCTGAAGATGGTGTCACGCATGGAGAGTGGAACAGAAAGCGTGCTCGTCAGCAAGCTATCAGCTCTGATGTTGCTTTTCATGTAATAGATAGTGGGTAGTGTTCTGTCGCTTAGACCGTGAAGGGTGCAGTTTTTTTTCCCTTACTGTTCTGTCTTTGAAAACTGGTACCAGTATGTAAAACCCTTATTGCTTTCTTAAAAGCATCTCCTTTCAAAAACAAAAAAAAAAAAAAAAACTGCAGGAGTGTAGGGCCTATGTATTGAGTTAGTGATATTAACCCCCGCGCGCAGCGCAATCGCTATTAATGGTCCGCAACGTGACTTCTTAACCTATCTGTTTGGACAGCTTCAGAAATACTGTGGCGGTATTGGAGTTTTTTTTTCCCAGTAAAAAGCCTCTTGCAGAGTGAAGAAGCCGAAGCCGCAGCAGCCATACAGCCCACACTAAATGAGCCTTAATACGGTCCACACCGAATAGGCCCTTAAACTAACAAACGGAATTTTTTTTTTACTGATAATGGAACATTTGTTTGGAAATAGGCAAAAGACCTACAATGACTTAACAACTCTATAAACATCGGTAAACAAAAAAAGAAAAAGTTTTGAAGGGGTAAATAAAGTTGAGTGAACAATACGAAAGGCACGGATAACCACCAGTGGTCCGATCCAAATGTTTTCAAAGCGACAACAAATTGTATCCTAAAAAAAACGCGCTAACTGATGGGACTGAAAATAAACACAACAAAAAGCTTGAGAGTGTGAAGGGCCAACGATCGCTTCCAAGGCAATATATTTTTTATGTCAGTTCAAGCAAAGACCCAGATCCTCCCTCCACGTGAGATCCCTCCCATACCACATGCCATTGATTATAGTGCCAAAGAAAACAGAGGTTTGACCTGTTCACTTGGTTGATAAGCCATGACTGAAAGTACTGTTGGCTAATTTATTATAAGAGAAAAATAATGTTCATTGACTGAAAAAGTACGGCTTATAAGCCAAGCGAACGAGAACGGCTTATAAGCCAAGCGAACGAGACCGTTAGTGAAGGGGATTGTATATAGAGAGATGAAGGAATTCTGAACGGAACAACATGATCAGGCGGCCGTCAGGCCGGCACATCTGACGTGAGCTGCGGCACCGGGTCACCGGCTGGCCGACGCTGCAGAAAAAGAACCAATACTTCTCTTATCGATTGGTATCAGGAAAAAAAAAAGTCTCATGTGTACTCTGCGTTTCGTCCACCCGTGGTTTGCACCTCTTGAAATCATGTCAAACAGCGTCATCAAGGTGACAAGGTGTGAAGTGTTTAATATTATAAAATGCCTGCATACCAAGAAAACTACATATACAGTAATACATTTTCAAAAATACATTAATGGTTTATTGATGATTTTATTTGCAAGTTCCTCGTAAAGGAAAGAGAAGTAGGTGGAAGTTTTATCTCTCGTTCTTCCGTTGGAAAACTAGATCACTTTGTCTTCGCATAGTGGTTGCCAAAAGTGATAGTAACTGATCAACTGCTGCTAATTGCCATAAATCTTATCAAGTACCATATTCTTAAAGAAATGCTACTTGTACAACATGTATCAAAACTTCAATATATGGATAATGTAATGTAGCCGCACTATATTATTCACTAGGTTGAGAGTTATTAGGGAATGATCTTTGTTTTTGCACAAAATAAAACCGTAAAAATTGTCTATGTTTTGAAATATTAATAGGCATGTTCTTAAATTTTAGTTGCATTATTATTGTATCAGCAAGTAATTTCATAGACTACTTTTAAAAATAGGGCAATAGTATTATTAGGGCATCTTTGATCCTCTCAACTTTTATAAGACACAACATTATAGGTATTTTAGCTTTTTATAAGCTATACTGGATGCTTGGATAGTTCTAAGTAACTATAAGGTACTTCTTCCATTCTAAAATATATGGTACTCTAGTAAGTTTAGGATAAATTATGGAGTAATGCAAATGATGCAGGTAACCCTCCATTAATTATAGAGAGACTTCGTGCTTGTTATATTTTGACTCCAGTTGTATACACTAATGGCAGGTACACATGTGATTGGGACTTTGATTGAGGGAGTTAATTTACCTAGAATATACCTTGTAATTTGGGATAAATTTTGAATGCTTTAATACCATATATTTGAGGACGGAGGGAGTATATTATAAGTTGGATTATTTGGATTAGTTAGAGTTTTTCTTAGCAACTTTTTATATAGCTCTAGCTGATCCAAATAAAGCTTTAATTTCATAGTATGTTTGATCGTGTGAACTGGATCCTTGAATTGATAGGATCACACAACATCTTGATCTAACATCAAAATTTCTCAAAGTAAAACTGAGTAATATCTATGAGTAAGTGGATTTAAGATTCTAAAATTTTGTCAAAATTAGCATTATTGACTTCTAAATATAGAATATGATCAATGATGCAAATAAATACATTCATTTTCTCAAGCAACCGATAAAGTCATGATTCTACCGTTCGATCATGTCATCATTGGGTATATCCTACTCTCAACGAAGTGTCATATATATGATTGACCTCATTTTAAGATCTTAAAAAGTCAAATGTTCAGTGAACCTTGCCTTTATGATTGAAAATTCTCGCATGACCTTTCACGAATTCTGAAAATACGCCACGTTAAAAGCATTCACATGTCACGTCACCAACCTAACCCGCACCGTGCAACGTGCTGGTGTGCCCGTTGCAAATAAGCCAATTCGATCAGCCCCTGCGCGAAAAAAGAAAAAAAAAACACCTGCAGCATCACGCCGATGCGTGCCGTTCCGCTGAATTTAAAACCCCTCCTGCTCCATCCAATCGCTCGTTTTTTTGCCTGTTTTTGTTGAGGCGGTCAGCGTTCCGTGGCCGCGCCAGCCTTCCGAGACCCTCCACCAAATCAGGCTCCAAGAACGCAACAACAAAAGCACACAAAGAATCAACCGGCCGCACCACCAAGAGCATCGTGATTCGAGACCATGTCCATGTCCGCCCCCGCTCCATCGACGCAGCTCCGGTCTTCTCAGTGAGCAACATCGGCAGGGCAGGAACGCGCGTGCAGTATGGCGGCGCTGTGGCTTAGGCTGCTGCTCGCCGTCGGGCTCCCCATCGCGGCGCTGGTCGCAGTCGTGTTTCTGGTGTACCGGCGTAAAAGCTTGCCTCGTAATGCGCCGCCGGAGCTGCCGGAAGTTTCCCCTACGGCCGGTGTGAAGCCGCTGACGGCGAGCCCCGGGCTGGCGAAGCTCAACATGAGGTACAACGCCGCCAGCGGCCGTGTGGGGCTGCGGTTCCAGCAGCTGCACCAGCACCAGCACCACGCCGTGAGGCACCGTGGCTCGAGCGGCGGCGGCGGAGCGCAGCAGGGCGCGTTCCAGTGGGCCGACCACCCGCGGCTGGTGACGGAGGCGGCGGAGAACGGGTGGGCGCAGTTCTTGTTCACGGTGGCGCCGCCGCGGTCCAAGTCCGCGTCGTCGTCGCCGCTGTGGGGGACGTGCCCGCTCTGCGACGCCGGGACGAGCCGCGACATGGCGGAGGCGGCCGCGTGGGAGCTGCCCGCGGGGTCGTCCGAGCGGATGCAGGCGGTGCGGCTCAACCCGGCCGCCGCCGCGGCGTCCGGCAGGAAGTGGCTCCCCGGAAGCATCCCGAGCCCGCTCCGCGGCGACAAGGACGCGGGGAACGGGAACCCCAGCGCGCTGTGCCTCGCCAGGATGAGCCTGCCGCTGCCGGGCCCGCCCCTCGCCGGCACGCCGTTCCCGCAGGACGCCTACTTCGAGATCACCATCATCTACCTCAACACGAAACGGCCGGAGTGGTCAGCGTCCAGGGCGAGCAGGCGTGGGCGGGACGGCTCCAGCGAGAGCGACCACGTCAAGCTCATCAGTTTTGCACCGGACGCCAAGAACCCGGTGCAGGAAAACAGAGCCGCCGCCAAGGACGGTGAACAGGACAGACGGAGGCATTTGGTCATGTCGCTCGGCCTCGCCACCGCGTCCACCGCTCCACAACGGCCGTCGCTGGCCGGAACGTACTCGTCGTCCATCGGGTTCCACTCCGACGGGGCCGTCTATCTCGACGGTAATTAGCAAAACACATAAAGCACGGTGCTTCCAATTAATGATTCTTGAGTGCAAGCAAGACATGATCTAAAAGAGTTTCTTTTCGATGGATGATTTCAGGGATGAAACTGGTGTACGAATCGGACAAGTCGTCGTGGGTGGGCGTGGACAAGGTGGTGGGGTGCGGCTTCGAGCCGGCGAAGCGGAAGGTGTTCTTCACGGTGGACGGGCAGCTGGTCCACGCCGTGAGCTGCAACGCGGAGGCGTTCTCGAGCCCGCTGTACCCGGTGCTGGCCTCCAGCTTCGACGTGATGGCGCTGGTCAACCTCGGGCAGGGCAAGTTCCGGTACGCGCCGGCCAACGCGCGGCGCACGGCCAACCCGTGCTTCGTACGCGCCGCGTCCGCGGTGGACGACGCCCGCGGCGGCAGCGGCTCGATGGGCCTCGACTTCGACGACAGCGGCGAGCTCTTCTCCATGGGGCGGGTGGACTCCGGGTGGCTGGAGACGGCGAAGGTGAGCAGGAGCAGGAAGGAGAGCATCGGCGGCTCCGGCGCGGCGTCCGTCGTCGGCGACCCGGAGGCCGAGTCCGACCTGTTCGAGATCCCGCTGCGAGACTGATGATGAACGCGACGGCCGGAGACAGACACAGGAATTAGTTGTAGTAATGGGGAATAGTCACGGCGATACTGACACATGCTTAGGAGCTAGGACACGCAGGTTGATTTGGCCGTTGTTGCTGTTGCTGTTGAGGTATCATCGTCCAGCTCTTGTTATCTAGATGTGTAAAAGTATTAGGTAGGTTAAAAGGATGAAAAAGCTTGTCCTATGCAATGAGCTTTTGATTCGTTATTTTCTTCTTCTATTCGCTGGTGTGTGTCTCTTTATCTTTATGCTTTCATTATTCAAGATGTACAGATGGTGGAGATAGATTCTGGAACTAGAATTTCGAATAAAGAGGAGAAAAAAAGAAGTGCCTAGAAAACACCACAATTTGAAAAGATGAATCTTCCTGTGATTCACACTTGCATAGCTAATAATGGGATATCTTTTTTATCTTGATTTGCAAAGTCCATGCACTTTATACTTTTGTTGGTGTCTTGGTGACTACTTCCATCACCTCACCTATTTTTATATTTTGAGATTTTTTTATAACAGAAAATTTTGCATGTAAGTGGGTTTGCTTTATAGCATCAGTTGACTCCCAAATTCCCAATGGGCGCACGCTTTGACATTTAATAAACCCTGTTAATGGAGGCACGGAGCAAGTATCCAGCCCCTCGTGATTGTGATTTTGTTGCTGGTGCTTGCAGCAACAAATGACATACAAAAAGTGATAATGCTTAGTTTTGTATGTTTAATAAGTTATAGAGAAACCTTATATATTTTATTTTAATGAAGCTGGATAGCATGCCTTCTCTTTCACTTGTCAACTAGCCCCTGCAGTTGCATGTCTAAAGAATCCATGTGTGCATGTACCGCTATATCATGACTTTACCATAAATTTGTAGTTTACCTTACTTTTGCTCTTCATTATTGTCAATATTATACTTGCTAATAGATATGATTGAAATATTGGTCCATCATAATCATGTCGTCACTCTGCTCCAATTTTTATATGGATACTCTGTACGCACTTATTCTCATTTTATTTACTATTTTCAATTGCAAAACTTTTGTTTAGGTTGAGAGCTCAGGTCCATTAATAGCAGGTTGCGCCTTTCGGCTTTCATTGATAGCAATCCCTCTCCTTCAAATGAGTTTTCAGTGACTGCACAAAGGATGAGCACTCGGAGGAAAGAATCTGGAATTTTGATCAAATGGCATTTCAAGCAACAGGTAGCTTGAATAATGGCATCCAGACATCTGTACCCCGGGAACCTTGTGGGCTGTGGCGATAAGAACCATATGGGAGCTGCCATCAAACCGCGCGGCAGACGCAACGGCAAAAATCCGCACCATTCCACAACTTGCCATTTGGCCGCCCTGTTCCACAAGAACTCCTCGAGAAAAAAGCCTACAAGATAAGAATAAGATGAGCCCATGACTTGCCTCGCTGCCGAATAACGCTATCCAGGCATCCAGCAACGCAGAGCAGAGAACAGAGAAATGACAAGCAATTGCCGGCTGCCGCTAGTCAATTAAAAAGGGGTGGAAAACAACAAGCTCGTGCCGTCCCTAACGTCACTGCAGCTCGAATGATGATCTATCTAACAATTGGATTAGAACTAATCCAGGTGTCTCTTTGGCCTCTAGGTATCAATGGCGTCACGGATTTGGAGCTAGGTGCATGCGAAACCAGTGACGTTTCTGCCTGCGTCCTGCCGCGACACCCGCGGACTTTTTCGTGTTTTTCATGCGAGTTGTCAGCATCTAAAGCCCCTTGTGCGTTCAAGGTGTTGCCGGGCTCTCCTGTCCATTCAGCCGCCTCTAGTCTAGAGTCTAGAATACGGCCGTCCTTGTGTGAGTCGGTTTCGGACGGCGCTGCTTCATCTAGAAGCTGAGGTTTGGTCCAGTCCAGCAATGAGCCATTCCCTTTTTCTTATGTTGAAGTCAGCTGGTCCAGCCCATTCTGCACACGATTAGGTTACTGCTAATCCTTTTCCATATGTCACATCTAGTCACTGACTATGATTAGATGGGTAGAGTTGTATATATAGTTTCCCACTGCAACTCAATAAAGTGAGCAAGTTCAGTTTTGCCATCTCCTCTACAGAGCTCCGGCCAACGCTGGTGCTTGTTTTGTGTGTGCGCGCTCTGTTCTCCCTCCTTCTTCTACGTCTAGCCCTAGTGTATAGTCGACAACACCGGTGAATGGTCTTCTCATCCGTGTGGAAGATCCAGGGGCCAACACTCTCCGGGGGCGCTGGCCATCGCTGGGAGCGATGCCCCTCGTCATCACGACGCAATCAAATTAACAAGGCCGCCAAGTTCATCACTTGCGCCGCCGGAGTGCATCTGCTGCTCCAAGCAAATAAGGAGGCAGCCACACAAGGACACAAAGCAGACGCTCCGTTGACGGCGCCCCGTCGAGACGGAGGAAACGACTCGACGTCGAACGGACACGCCGAGCCGGAGGAGATCGATCGACGTTATCGACATGACCCTGCTGTGGAGGCCGGTCGCTGTGTATCGGCTTCGTGACGTCCAAGCAAACAGCCGCGAGACTCCATCCAGTTACGCGCTCCTCCGGAAGAAGCCGCACGTCTGCAGCCCAGGAGGAGGTCGCCTCAAGACGGCTCCACACAGTGCCGGTCGCCGGGAAGTTGATCTGCACCGACGCAGCCACAGCAGGGCACCGGAGTTCATCCGGGAAGACGTCGAGAACGGCATAGCGAGGCCAAGCTAGCCTCTTCCGGGAGCAGCGGGAGCCTTCTCTCGCCACGCGTCAAACTGCTGGCTCGCGACCATCTACAATGACTGAGGAGCCTGTGGGCCGGCTAGGACGCTCCATCGAGGCCGTGACTCTGCGTTGTCACGCCATCCTCCCAGATGGCTTCACGTAGGCTGAAGACGAGCAAGCAAGGAGATGGGCAGGCGCGCCGATCACCGTGGCAGCTAACCTCTTATCTTGTCTTTGTTTATTTGCCTTGTCTTTGTTTGTTTAGCAGGCACGCGCGGATATCCTGCAAGGAAGATGCAAGCAAGCAAGGCCAGATGCAAGTCCTCATCAACTACTACAAGTTCAAGTTCAACCCCGCCGACCAAGTTCCACGGCGTACCACGACTGATGCTACCAAAGAAGTCTGAAGCAGTCCGAGCTACACCAACCATGCAAATGCGACCACGACAACACCGCGCGCCGTTCGACACCGACGAGGCAAACGACGCAGGCGGGCGTAGCTGATTTCCCCAGCTCCGCTGTACCATCATGCTGACGCCACATACATCCACACCGACACCATGCATGGAGACGTGAAGGGAAGATCGAAGACGACGACCAACGCAGCTTAATCGGAGCTTTCCGAGGCTCCAGGAACCATGAAGACCACATCGTCCCAGTTAGATTGCCGCTAGCAGGCTTTGGAGCGCACATTTGTATGAGAACATATATTTGTATTTTGATAAATATGAATAAAGTATGTGTTCTCGTCTCTTTGTTTTCTTTGTGTACTTTACACTGGCATGCCCGCACATTTATTTTTCTTTGTAGCAGAGAAATATCGTATTTTTCTGTCCAAACACTGGGAAGGCGAGCTGCCAGTAAGTAGAAACCATTCCTATCTTGTTTAATTGTTTTCTGATTGTTCTTGATTTGTTTAATTGTTTACGCCACTCATTTCAGTTGTATGAGCGACGATGGATACTTGGTGACTGACAGAGACTTGACAGAGGACGGTCAGATTATAGATACTTGGTGACTGACAGAGACTTGACAGAGGACGGTCACGACAAAGGACTGGTCGTACGAGTCCCCAATCGCCACGGTAGATGCTATGGAGGGCGGAATCGTATGTCTCTTCCAAGCATGGCTTTGTCCTCATTTCTTCTTATCAAAGCAGGGAGGTTCGGCCGCTCCTCAGGGTGTCCACGTCGCCGCCGTCGTTTACAGCCCTATGATCTTCGCTTCGACGTCCAGCATTCGTTTCATCTACTGTTTTGCCCTGCGTGTTCTGGAGCCTTCGTTCCTTCATTTACTCTCCGTCTCCGTCCTGTGCCCGTCCTCATCCTCTAGCCTCTACGCTCCCTTCCTCGCTCGCCAGTCGCCACGCGACTGACCCGACGGCGCCGGCTGACCTCGGCGGTGGACGGCCCTCCGCGCCGCGGCGGCCACACTCCTCCTCCCCCTCCTCCTCCTCCTCCTCCTCCACCAGCATCACCACCACGCCGCTTCCTCCTCGCGACGCAAGCCAGCGGGTCGCGCGGCCTAGGGTTTGGCCCCTCCGTCGCCGGTCGTCCTCACGGCCGCACGGCCAGCCAGCTGACGCCCTCACGCGGCGGACGGCTCTGGCGATGGAGGGGCGTCTGTGCTGGCCGTGGATGAAGACGGGGAGGTCACGTCAGCAGCCTCGACGGTGGATCTGAAGCGGCCGCTCGCGGGGGCCCTCCCGACGGACGATCTGAGGCTGGAGCACGGCGTGGACCTAGCGCCGGCAACGGAGGCGGTGGATCTGCGCCGAGCAGGAGGATCCGGCGCGGCCTCCCCGTCTCCACTGGATCCGGCTGCATGGGCTCCACCGTCGCGCTAGACGGTGCCACACGTCTGCGAGCTGGCCCCCGCTGCCCCCTCCCCCCCAGGTGACCACCGCCCTGCCTGCCGCCCCGACGAGGCTTCGTCCCGTAGGTTCGCCTCTCCTCACGCGCCGCGCTGTCGGGGCGACGGCGCGCCCGGCCTGCTGCGCAGCGCCGCGCGTGGGCACTGACGGTGGGCGGTCCGACGGCGGTGGACGTCCTCCGCCACGGAGCGGCACGACAGGCCCATGCCGGTAGCCGCCGCCGCTACTTCCCCCGCGCTGCCCCTTCCACGAAACCCTACCTGCCTGAGCTCAACGGCTCCGGCTGCGCGTGCCATCTTCATCACCGACGGCCACGGTGGCGTCTCAGCTCCGAGTCTGGATCTGGCGGATCTCTTGTCTCCTCGTCGATTTATGGGATGCAAGGTACCCAGCTAACCCCACCAC